TTCGTTGTTATTTTTACTATGCTTTTATTTTATTTTATGCTTTATGTAAGTGCTGGCATTTGAAATTTCATATAAAACTACTATTTCTCGACAATGAATTTCGCTACTTTTATAAAAACAATTTTACTTATCGAATATGTACAATATATTTATAGATGTATATAAAAAAGTAATTGTAAACTTTATTCTCTAAATGCGAACTATATTTGTGGCTTAATTGTTAAATTCTAAAGGTTTTCTACATACAAGAATATGAAATTATCATTATTATTAATAAAATATGGTCAGTTACACATTATACAGTAATAATCGACGCTTACCAAGGTCTTTTACATCACGTACTTAGTTTCAGTCGGAAATAAAATAATTTGAACGCGGATGATGAACTGAACGTGGGAGGTCTAGTCTTTATTTATGACATTTATTTTTGCCGCTTTATGAGTAACGCTTGCAAGTTCATATCCAATTCATTTATGTATAAAATTAAACTTTATATTATAGAAAAAGTCACTGCATAACCAGCAAGTTGATAATATATTAATTTCACTTTAAAGAAATTTTTAAATGATTAGTGCAAATAATAAGATGGTGAAGATTTGTCATTGTTCCATATTGTATTACAGATTCGTAATGCATGTTTGTTATTTCGCGTTTTCTCATTTCCATTGAACACTTATCACGTATGACGTTCTTCTTAACCGATTGTACTTTTTTTCGCGGTTTATGGATCGCCGGTTTAACATTTCATGTGCGATGCGCACATTTGAGCCATAAGTTCAAAGTCATCAGATTTCTTGTTGTAAACAATGATTAACTCTGACACATACCATCGCATGACAAATATTAGTGCACGAATCATTGCTAATAACATAATGGTCTGTTGTCACTACTTCAAGCCTGAATAGTTCAAATCATAATACTTAATGTATAACAACTTAAATGACTTAATGCTTAATGACCTTTCCGTGTACGTTAAATGGAATCGAATTCAAGTCGTTATTTATTTATTTTATGTTGTCTTCATTAACCAGTTTTATTTAGTAACACGACCCATATTTTCTTTCCGTTTTCAATAATAAAAGCAAATTGATATAGATTAAAAAACAATAAAGCGGACAAGGACACCTGATTTGGCTATAATAATGAAACGTGGTTCCACTATCGATGTAGGTTAGACCAGTGATTCTCAAAGTGAGGGTTGCGAAAATATTTGGATAAAATCATATTAGCAACATAAGTTTGACTTATTATTTAATGGTTTTTAATTTTATTTAATAACTTTTATTTACATTATAACTGTAGATTTTTACAGGTAAATCCTATTATAAACAGAATACAATAATGATTTAAACTTTGCAAATTATAATATTGAATTTATTTAAAACTATTAAGTTTATTATAATCACGTTTTTATTTACTAATTAAAACAATCAGGGCAATTAGGGAAAGTTTATTTTTTATATTTTAATATCTAGAAATTATGTAGATTCTAGAAAATGTGACAGAATAATAATCTAGATTCTTGATTGTAAATATATGTTTAAATTTACTGACCTTACGCAAATATCTGTAAATAGTTATGCAAACTCAATTGGTCGATCGATCCTAAAAAATATAACTGAATAAATAGTTTTTTTTATGTCTTATGGCGCCATTATTACAAGCATCACAAGGCTAATGCAGGAGAACGAACTTTGATCATACGTAATTATCAACCGATTAAATGATTTCCAATTACGTCCGTTGTTTACTTCAACGTTATTTTCCAATTTACTCGTTTCGGTTTTGTTATTCGAAGAACGTGGTAGCAGCATCGACAAACACATTTTTTTCTGAGTAACTCTAGAGGAGGCGTCAACGGGATTGCATAACAGATTTTTATTATATAACCGACGCGGCGTTTGGTCGGCTTGTCCGCTTGGTATTCGCTGGATGTAAATAAAACGGGAGCAATGTTTCAAGGAAGTTTCCGTTAGAACAATGACTGGCGCAGAAACTAAAGTACGAAGTTTGCTAATTATTTGAAACAACCGTACAACTAGAAAGTTAGGAATAATCGTGAATATTTCTTATTGAATTAACGATGATTTGCGTAATTGGCGTAGTGGAAAACAGCTCCCAGAAGAAGCGGTAGTTAAAGAAAAAAAAAAAAGAAGCTGTATGCAAGTATCCGTTCATCATATTTTACTTTATGTAACCATGTTTGCTATTCGACTCGAGAAAGTTTGCGGAAGGATCATTTAAAATGCCTACTGCCGCATGTAAGAAGCTGCGTCTTCCTTGTTTCTCACAAGCCTACATTAAAGATTTTTCTTAGCATCAATTGGGGATTAATGTAGATTCGTTGCATAATGGGAATGGAACAACGTCGGACAACCTGCAATCACTATAAAGTTAATTCGAATACACGTCGATAGAAATACTTCAGCTACAGGCTGGTCGTGTGCGCATTTGCTTTATTTGCGCGCAGATAAAATTCCGATCGTGTTTATTATAAACTCGTGTTAACTTACCTGACCTGACTCTACTAAGTTGCATTCATGATTTCCTATTACTTATACTCCGCAAATATGCCTATTCTTAATAATATGTTTTATGTGCGAATTGTATCTTCTCAACTGAGCAAAAATAAAAACAAGTCAGGTTTCTCCGGTTTCTGTTTCGTGTTGTGCTCGTACAGATTGTAATATATTTGTTTGGCGGAGGATGGCACGAGCAGCAGAAGTGGAATTGCAAAATTATGCAAAAAAAAAGCATGATAGGGGAGACGAAAATGGGAATTATGAGAGGCGAATGTAAACTCACGAGAGGCAATTGCGTGAATGGTTTGGTAAAAGTTAGCGACGTTGTGCAAAATCATACTCACGATATCACGCCGAGGGCATTATTTGCTATTAACCTCACGCTAATGACCAATTACTCAATGCACTCATATTTAGTCAGTGCGACTATTTATTAACTGCGACTGAATCCTTTATGGAAATGAAGAGAAATTTGCTGATTTTTGTGTACGTCGGAGAATGTTGAATGACTGATGACTCCAGGCTTCCTCGAATTCCATACTTAATTTATTTCCCATTAAATCTCGCTTGGTGGCAGAAAGACTCATCGCATATAGCTTATGCTGAGCAGCTGCTAATTAATATAATGGATAACGTGACTGAAAAATATAAATATTTTGATATTTTAATTGCTCTTGAACGTTGTTTATTCAATTCAAAAAATCACGCATATATTGCATTACAACGCATTTATTTATTTTTAAAACAACATTTACATATATTAACTCTATTTTTTTGTAAATTATTGTCCATCACAGAAAGTTCATTGAACTTTATCGATACGTATTGTTTTTCTAATCATAATTGATTTAAGTGCGTTTATTTATTTTATTCATTCTTCAATAGTTCAAATTTAATTATAATGACGTATTTTATTTATTTAACGCTGATGAAATTATAATCCTGCTTGCAAGTGGATGCCAGTAAACGTTCATTGTTAGTAGTTTCTGGTGTTTATTTTTCAAGATTAAATTGGATTAAACAATATTTACCGTCTTTCTGTAAGAGAATGAGGAAGTAGTTAAATGCACTAAGTCATGTATATGAAACAAAGTAATTAAAAACGAAAGTTTACAGAAAAGCCACATACATTTTTACTATGGAAGGAAATGGTGGTAAATTAGGACGGAAACCTTCAAATAAATATAGATATGATTACAGAAATACATAGACTAGTATGAATAATGAGTTTATCTTTTTTCATCACGAATCATATTTATATTAGATAAGTTCACATCATGCATCTACAATTTCATGTAGTAATTGGAAAGTTAAATTCAAAATATTTATAGACAAAATACATTGGTATTAAATATAAACAAGTTTACGTCATATAGTAGTAGTGTTTGTTTTTATTAAGCCGTGTCAATGTGCGAATGTACTTGTATTAAATCATTATACTCTTTTACATTGTATGTTTAGCTTTCTATTTGTCTCAAGACATCGAATGGTTTACCGTTTAATTCATCCAAATACTATTGAATACATATGTTGCTAACATTTAGTAAGATAGTGTATGTGCTAGATAAAACTATAATTTGTTTTTTTATAAAATATATAATTGTTTTATATTATGTTAAGTATTTAATACAATGCATTTTTATTCTCTATCAGATGTTAAAAACATTTCCTTTGACGTATAGTCTGACAAAGGAATTGTTTTTAATTGTGACAATTAGTATAAATGCAATTTGTATACAATAAATAAAACATAAAATAATTTGAATATATTTTTAGAATATGTCGCAGTGGAGGACCATCCGCTAAATGACAATGCATTTCAAAACAAGTATGTTAGTTCTGCATTGCCATGATTCTATATTTGGGTGAACTTACAGTTAGTATTTAGTGCTGTTTAGCTAAACGTTATTTAAACTTCACAAGTTAATTTATATATTTAAATGAAATTCTAAGTCCGGCTTTGACAAGTCCCTATTTTAATTGAATAAATTTTGCCAATTTACAAAAGTCTTTTCGAGCGCTTTAATTTTATGAGGTTATCAATTCTTTGATAAAGTCCAGGTATATTGGTGGAACAGATTATCTGGACTATATGAGGTGTTGATGTAATGATTTTCTTGTTTCAAAATGTATAGACTGAGATCGAAATTAATTTCGCTGCTGTGATTTGGGGTGTAATAATGCATACATGCGAAAGAAGAAAGTTCAGAGCAAAAACAAAAGTATTATCGAAGAGGAGAAAGTGCTATCTTATCGACTCACATGAAGCCTTGTTTATTTGCGCAAAATGTGTTTTTCCCGTTTCATTTTGTCGGTGTAAAATCCATGTGTATCGACATAAGAAAATGATGTTCTGAATGCAATTCCTTCGTACGAAAATAGAATGGAATGCGATAATGCCGAGCGTTAAGGATTTCGTATGCGTACTCGTTTAGTGTGTCATGAATGTTTCTGATTTTGCTATTCTATTTGTTGCAGCGAGGAGAACAACGCATCTCTGAACAACACGATGAGAATAGGCGCGTTTGCCGATGCGAAAAGGAAACTTCCCGAACCGGAAATGATAATACCTTGCGTCCCGTTCAGCAAATTGCTCAGCATGCGGAAGTCACCGGAACAGAAGGCCGAAAACGACGACAGAACCGAAGTCGAGGAGTTGATGGCTGCGGCCGTAGCAGACGATTCGTCCACGCTTGAAGTGGACGCAGACGTCGCCGTGAAAGGCAAGGACGACAAGAACGGCAATGCCAAGGATCGTCCCTATTTAGGAGCACTTCCCACCCACCGGTTCACCATGACGCCCACCAATGACGATTTCATTATGGTAGACTTGGTAAATTTTAATTTTGCTGAAACGCTGCATGCTATCTGTCTTCATCCTTGTTACCATCCACTAACATATATGTTCAAGAGCAAAGCAAACACTCTTTGACATGAGTATTATCCGCTACTTGTTGCTTACCGCGAAAAATTCGAATGCAATGGCCATCGCTTATTGTAATTAGTTTATAGCAACGTTTACAAACACAATATGATAACATTAACAGGTATAACAAGAAAGTCCATATATGATTCATGGGATACAACAATATATAAAAATCAGAAAAAGTATCAATATTTAAAAAAAAGTATTGCAAGAACTATATAATTACATAAATAATTACAGACAAAAAATATGAAATAATATATTGTCTTAAATATTTATATTAGAACTGAAATATATAATAGTTCAAAACTATATCAAATACAATAGGAAAAATCAATATAATAATAAAATAATAATTGACGATTTATTGTATAGATGTTATCGAAATAATAATATATAAATAATTTGAGTGTCTTTTGCAATGATTTTTTATGATTGTAATATTATTGTAATGATAATATTACTAACATTTGTTACAACAGTTACATCAATGAATACAAACATATACAAATATTATATATAAAAAATATATTGATTTCAACATAACCGCCATAACGAATATAATTATTATTTTGCTTAAAAATGATTATAATTACATTAAATTTTAGTGAATTAGCCATAATCAGTTGGGCGAATCTAAAATTAGTTTAATATTGGCGGAGATTCAAACTATTCTTAATTTACTATTTTTACACACATCTAATGTGACTAAATTAAATTGCTACTTATTGATCTCATTCTTTAAAATAAACAACATTTTTTGCATTCATTCAACGTGTTTAGAATCAACTTTCTAATATAAACAAAAAAATTCATATTATTTGGAAAAATGACACCAAGTTTAAAATTAATGAGAATCAGTTCAGTTGGAACTTTTTTTTTACAAAAATAAATTATTAATATCTTTATTCGCAACAAAGAAAAAACAATTTGTATATTGTACTAATTATACTATAACATAAATAATTGCACACATATAATGAAAAAAGTACATGAACTATTGGCTAAAAAATATTTCCTATTTTCTTCATTTTTATTATAATTTTTAGAATTAATAGAATTAAAGTATCAGTGATATGTGAATTGAAGAAAAAAATATTTAAAAAAAAATGGTTACGCTGTTATGAAATTATGAATGTTTTTTAGATTCTAGCACATTCTTCAATGACTCAGAACCTATTGCATTGTAGCTAGTTGTAGGCTGGGCGCCAGTTTAATTATATGGCATAAATGTTTTAACCTTGATATTATTGCAGTTGTTTAAAAAAATCTTGCCAATATATTAGAACAATTATTGATATTATTATGATTGAATTGATTGGTGGCATCGTTTGTAATTGTAACATTGATGTGAAACTAAATATGTTACAAGGTCTTTGGAAAAAAAATCAGTTTTGAGTTCAGGGTTTTTGAATGATATGAGGATGTCTGGATTAGTTCACCAGTGGCTTTTAGCGATGAGTCATGGCTACAGGCTTTTATCTAGCAAAATTTGATCCATATCCCGTTGGCTTCTGAATGTATACATATTGTGAAATAGTTTTTTCATCTTTGATGCTTTTGACTAGTATTGTATTGTGAAATCATTAGATTATATTAGAGCATGCGTTGATGAACCTTAACGACGATTGCACTTTAATTTGCTTAATTGGAGCGACGGACGAGGAGGTAGTTTTAAGTTAAACGACGGTTATTTATAGCCTAGGAGAGTGATATCCAACAAATTAATTCTTGTGCGCGCAACAAACAAACGTTGCGTACGGTTCAAAGTTTAGCGTTTAACCATTGACGTAAGCGATTTGTCAATTTTCTCCGTTTTTATTTGGTCATTTCATTACGCCGTCAGTAGTTAACTTATTATTTCCATTTACTACTGGTATTGTGCAGTATTCGTCCTTAGGGAAGGTCGACCGCTGCATACTCATTATGCATGCAGTTCGAAATAAATAAAATACATGAGGAATGAGTTGTGGAAAATAATAATAATATAAAGTGTAGACTTCAAGTTGGTTTACTTGAATATGATCGACGTGCGAAATTTCTTTCACAATCATTAACGAAATTAATATAATAATCTATATACCGCTTTTGCATGCGCAGAATTCATAATTAATTAACAATTTTAAACAAAAGATCACACGTTTTTTCAACCCTTTCTTCTTAAATCTACCTACTCTTTTAACCCCTCGATGCGTTCGTTTTGTCAATGTGTTTTTTACGTTTCTATTTTAGAAGACCCCATTCGCTACTTCGAACGGAAATAGTGAGCTGGGTAAAATATACAGGGAGTGGCAGACGGCGCCGCCGCTGAAAACTTTCAGCGAGATACCGCCTCTCTCTGATCAAGTGCCAGATCTGACGAAGCAATTGGAACGCTACGAGACGGCCATGAAGACCTACGATGATATGGTGCAAGCCCTTTGCGAGTCGCCAAACAACAACTGAAACGGAGGACGAAACCCGTTCGTTATTCCCGATCGCCGGATTTGCCGTTTCTTCTGTGAAAATACTGCAAAGTGTAGAAGGCGTTCGTTCGTTCCTTTCGTTTTCGTTTGTTGAATGTGAAATTATATATTTTTATAATGTTTGTATTTTCATTTGCCCTCCCATTAAAATTTGTTACGTTACCGAGGTGTGCATATTTATCGAGAGAATAATGTGAAATTTTATTAAAGAAATTTTAGGCAAAAATATTGTTGGCAATGGAAGCGAAAACTAAAGAAAATTTATTTAAAAAAAATAATAATAAGAAAGATTATATAAATGAAAACAGATAATTTCCTTTAAAATAACTATATTATATTGAAACACGTTAAATTTAAGGAAAACCAAAGACTGATGTAACGGATAGGGAAATGGACTGTACAGTTAACAGGATTTGTTTCGTTTATTATTTTTTTTTAATTATTTATGTTTTTTTTAGATTTATTGTTACACTTATGTTTCGTTTTTATTTTGCGCGAAAAATAATAATTTAACAAATACTCAACTAAATTCTTTCAGATTGCATATATATGCATACTCATACTAGTAACGTAATCATTCGATCCATCGATAATCAACAATTTTAAATTGAGTATTTGGTATGATTGTGTATTCAATTAGTTTATGTTAAAGTGTACTTTCTTTCAATGCATATTTCTGTTTTCTATTCGATTTACATCTTATCAATTTGAAAAAAAGCATCCGACCTTGTGTGTATGATGTATGTAAATTTCTATTTATGTTAATAATTTCGATTATTATTTCTTTCTGTGTTTAATATTTAATTTGCTCAATATTATTTATGTAATTTAATATGTATTATTATGATTTGGTCCATTCTGCGGGCATCGCATCACATATGTGTAGGTACAGGATCTACAGCTAAAACGAGAGATGAGTACTTTTTAAGTAACTAATAAGTAATTCACTTTCATTTAAGATTATATTTAAGTGTAAGTTTATTAAAATATATTATATTCATTATTTATAAACATGAAAATGCTTTTTTAATACATGTCGTTTTATTAATTTACCTATGATCACAAAAATAACTTCACTTAAAATAGATTGAATATTGTTTATTTCTATATATTTCACAGTAAATTTTCAACGTGCATTTTAGAAATCCCATTCTATTTATAAGACCCAAGATAGTCAACAAATTTGTACCAAATTTTAGTTCAGTATTATATATAAAGTTGTGAATTTATTTATAGCCACTAGTTCTTTGCATTGTATTATATATTACGTTGTTTGTCATATAAATTACAGAACTTAATGTGGTCATTTTTATTTGTTTTAAATGTACATAGAATTAAATTGTCTATACCAGCGTTTCTCAAACTTTGGGTCTCGTTAAATCGCGAACGAGATCTGCCACCTTGTATTAAAGCTAAAAATATTAGTTTATATGCTTGTAAGAGGGAGATTATTTTAGGATATCTCCTAACAAATATTATGTAATTTGATAACAAGCAAACAAAATATATTTATAATTTCTATTAAACTACGTTGTGTGCTGCAATCACATGGGTCAACAGTGTCAGATTATAAATTTGGTAACTTCAAAAAGATATCAAATCTGTTGATAATATTCTATAATAATTTGATTGCTTTCAGTAAATAATGATGAAAATAGTTCTATATTAATTGATATATATATATATATATATTATAAAGTTTCCATGTCTTCAAAATTAATTCAAACTATTACAAGGAAATAAAGCATTTTATATATATTTGATTAATATTGAGAACTTAACCCTTTGATATACAATGACGTGTTACAGACGAAGTTTATTTTACAATTTTCAATTAATAACTAGTATATAGTAAATCTATAATATAGTAAAGAAAAAATAATAATTCTGACAAGTAAGCTCGTAAGTATTTTTATAATGAAAAAGTAGCCAGTAGTTCAAGTTCTCTTTAAAGTTATATAAACATAAAACAGTTTCGTCCGAATGTATGGAAGAATTGAATTAGATGATAATAATATACATCATATTAAACACTTTTATGCCCTCGTAGAAGTACTGAATAATAACTTTTCGTAATGATGGTAAAAGAAACTAATAGATATGTAGCAAAGAAAATAGTGTTTAGTATTTCTTTTCAAAATCTGTACAAAATCAATGTACTTTATTTTTTGTTACATAACTTATATCTTATTCGTATTGCAATGGGTTTAAGTAAGAATATGATTCATCAATATAAATATAAAATAGTAAAATTACCGTTTTCCACAATACTGGTGGTATCACATTCTTTTAATGACTGAATTATGTTTTTTTTTTTAATTTTTACTCTGTATATTTAACCCTTGACATACAATGACGTATGAGTTTATTTTCGAATTTTCACTTTATTTTACAGTATACTTGGAAATATATGAACAATAACCTTGTAAGTCTTGTTTTTTCGAATGTGTGGTCAGTAATTCAAGCGAAAGTTCTGAAGTTTTGTTGATAAAAGTAAAACTTTTATGCAGCTGTGATGAATCAAATTTGTTAGAAATTATAAAACATTTAAATTGGAAAGATCCAAATTTAAAGCCATTTTCTGTAAATCCTTGTTTCAACGTTTTGGTTTTGAGATTGAGATTAGAGTATATACTCCTTTTTGTGCTCTAAATTAAGTTTTGAATGATGACTTTCGGAATAGTAAAAGAAGCAAATATATATGCAGCAAAGAAAGTAGATTTTAGTATTTCTTCAGTTATTTACTTCGTATTTGCATGTTAAATATAGATAAGAGCTATATTTTCATCTGGAATCAATTTTTAATATTGATCAAATTTTATATCTTTCCATTTTCTAAGCAAAAAAATAATTTCTAAGATAAAATTTTAAGTAATATGTAAAGATATTGGATTTGGAGGAATTCTTGAAAATTTGTTATGCAACAGGTGAAATGAAACGCAACAATCTTGAATTACAATTTAATTATATTTCATATATTCTACATAAAGGATATTCACATTGTTCAAACTAAAATGTCGTACGTTGGCATATTTTTTTTTTATTACAATTTCCTTGATTTTTTTTCTTACAATTAGTACAGTTAGTGTAGTTAGAGCAAACTTACATTGACAAGTACACACACAACCTTAGATATACGATAATTTAACAAAGCAAATATTATGTACATACTTTATTTATTTTCTTTTTCAGTACTATTTACATTACAATCTCTATTTATGTACATGCTTTATTACTTGTTACACTTGGGATTTACATTTACAATTCACTAAAACACAATTTATAAGTATATGTATGTACAATACTCGCATATCATTGATTATTTAAGACCATAGGAGTAACTAAATAGTAAGTTATCCAGTTTCCATATTCACATACCTCCGTTTGATCAGGTTATATAATTTTGAATAGGAAATTGGACCCAAGAGATTGAAACGTCTAAATAATTTCTTAAAATCTGATTAATAATAATAGTTTTAATTAACTAATATTCATTACATTATTGTCATTAATTGTATATTTTAAAGCTATTATATACAGTTCACTGAATTAATGACAATAATTACCGTTTCTATTGGTTATTGTAACAAAGCCTATTTATAATATATTTGAATTGTATAATGCCGTATCTAATTACAGTCTACTTTTATGTTTTTTTGCATGAATCGAAATTGTAATAATATGGGAATAATAATTTTGCCGATGTGCATCATAATAATGTGTACCGCATCATGAAATGATCTTGTTTTCGACAAATAATTACGAAAGCACGAATCATTTATCAGCGGTTCGCGAACTTTTTTCACATATGCATATCAATCAATTATTTAAATATTACGTGGGATCGATTCGCCGGATAATAAATTATTTAAATGAGAGATATATAGAGAGACAGAGTTCTGGCCGTTTGTGGCTGGGTCGTGAAAGGGCATTTACGTAATTAAGGGACTGCTGCTGGCATTATTAATTGACCCTTGAATTTGGGAATAAACTTTATACCCAATTGATAGTTGCATATCGCGAGGTAACAACACCTTTTAACCAACCGAAAATTTAACCACGAATTAAATTAGCGCAGAAACAGAACAAAAAAAGTGTTTTAATTCAACGCTTTAAAAATTATATTCTATTTTTACAAATCTATTAATCATTTGGCACACGATTTGCTGTGTATTTAATTATTTGAAATACTTTTTTTATTTATTTATTAAGTTCTCGTTATAACATCTTAATTGAAAACACTGATAAGTTCTCTAAATACAAAAGAGGTTTGCAATTTTCGCCTTATCAGGCGCAAAAATAAGACCAAAGAGATTTGAAACTTTTATTCGAGATATATTTATATAACCTATGACTTAAAAACATATTAGATATGTAATTTCTTTGTTTTGTAATATTATTATTTCTTTTATTACATGTTTGTGTTGGGTGTGATTATGATTAATGAGAATCGAATGATGTTTGCAAAGGAAACGAAACGAAAGATCGCGGAAATCTATTTTTTTTGTTATTTACTATTTACAGTTTTTTTTTGTTCTTCTATATTATAAAGTTCCTTAAATCCGTTTGGAAGCACTCAGCCATTAAAACTCAAACTGACTGATGAGTGATAGTTTTTTGTTTTGTTTTTGCGAATGATTGTTACATGTTTTTCTTATTACTAGCGACTATTTGAGCAGACAAAATGCGAATGCATACGAATTAATGGAAATAATTAGTATTCTGCGGTCCTCTTGATAAAACTACTCTTGCTATTCAATCGGATGGTATGAAATCATTGTTGTTGTGCTTCAAGAATAATTGAATCTGCTTGAAGGTCGGTCTGGCTGTTTCGTCGCGTTTCCAGCATTGCGACATCAGGTCGTAGATTTCTGGAGGGCAGATTAGGGGCTTTTCGAGAAGAATCTAGAACAAAATAATACATTATAATACTTCTGCAATTTTAATTAATAAATATAAATGAAATAATATAATGAAAACATATAAAGTAAATTTATATGTTATATTTAAATAATTAATTTTCATATATTTTAAGTATCAAAAATCATTACTAAAACTCTACAGAATATGTTCTATACACTACTTATGTATTTTATGCTGGTAGTCAGCTTACGTTCTAAGTTTAGCGAAAGTATTTTATATTTTACCGGTAATCGTATTACACAAATTTACGTATAAGGAGTTCACAAAGTGCTTGTTTCGCTGCACTGATTATTTAAATTATTCAATTTGTTCACAGGGTCAGTTTAAATTAGACCAACCATTATAAGTTTGTAGGTGCTTCGGTAATTTGGATTCAAGTTTAATGCTAAGAGAATTGCATATAAAGTACTTTCCGATTTAGTTTCCACTCCGATTGATCTGCCTGAGGAACTTAATTGAAATTCCTCTACTATTTTTAGTCCAATCCAATTCAATATCGTCTATATTTCTTTTCGGTACGCTCTTGGCCACTGTTAGCTTATTATACAAGATTTTTTTGTAAACATTGAATTCGTGCAAATCATTGATTTTGAACATTAAATTATTATGCAAAGAAGTTTGAAGCATTGATGGTATTTTATCATTATTTAAGGTGTTGAGGAAGTTTAAATATTAGTTCAAGTGTGCCATGAGACAAGAATGGTTGAAGAATTTAACATAAAGTAATGCGTACATTACAATATTCGTACAATCGTACAGTCAATTCTATTAAATCAGATTAGTTGTCCTTTATCGTGTTAAAAAAAAAGAAATAACATCATGGTTTTACTGAAATAACATTGACATATGTTATTTATTTGAATGCTCTTGTCTGTATGGGAATTTCTTGTTTATTTTGATAAGATACGACAGTAAATAGTAAGTATACATCGATTTGTGCGAATTAAAAGGTAAGTACAGGTATCCCCCGACTTACGAATTCCCGGACTTACGAACAAAACTCTAAAAAAATAATAAAATTGAATAAAATATAATATTTTTGGAAGATGTACTATCAGCTTTATTGCATTTGTTTCTTTTGTCGTGTTTTATTAATTAATTGTGATGTCAAATTTATGCAGAATTTAACACATATAAAAGTAATAGGTAAGATAAGTATATTTTCATTTTTTTAATTCCTCCGACTTACCAACAAGTTCGATTTACAAACATCCCTTTGGAATGGAACTAGTTCGTACCTGTATTTATAGTTTTTTTTTAAATAGTTTTTGTAATTACTGACTAAATATGTAGTTTGTTTGGAATTATAAGCATACATTAATTGATATCATTTTGGTGTCAAATGCTAAAGTAAATTACCTCCAATTCTCCACCGTAGTACATGTGCTCCGCGTTCTGAATGACCCTTTCGTTAGTCAAACTCTGGAACGGCTTCTCATTTGCAAAATTGAGAATTTCCCACATCGTAACTGCAAAAGACCACACGCTGCTGTAGCACGTGTAACGATCCTGTAAAATAAGCACAAAATTACAAAATATCAACCGTAACAGTAATAACATATTTATTTATAATTCGTCTTTCAAAACAAACGTTATTATTGATGATAACAATTTGTACACAGCATCCGTTCTACTACGTAAAATAAACGTAAATTACGACTGATTAGCAAACAGTATCTCCCGGTCATTTTACATCTTTTTTTCTATTTAATTTAATGGTTATTGTTAACTCTTTTACCATTAGATGTTTTTGTACTTAGTAGTTACGAAATTAGTAAATATTGGATATTGTAATTTTAGTCAGGATGTTGTGTGTGTCAATAAAATAAGATATAGCGGATATGTGAATGCAATTTTAGCGCGCAATAAAATCCGAAAGTGTTATTCAATAACAAGCAGCAATGGAAGCATTTTGTGGAAACACTAAAATTACGAATTTACGATTAGTAGTTTTATATGTACATGTGAAATGGGTGTCTATATAGGTTCATTAATATAATCGTCGTTGCAGGTGATGTCACAACAAAAAAAAACGTGTAGTATAAATTCCAAAAAGATGCAATTGTGATAATAAATGCATTCGATTATAATAGTCACTTATATTAGCGCCATGGGATTACCCAACATGTTATCTCCCGAATTATAGATTTGTTATTACACAATTTTATTTACATCAATATGTAGTAAAAAGTATGAAATTTCTCAACATTCAATTTTTTTGTTAATAAATATGAAATATCTGCAGTACTTTTAATATCTAAAAATAGATTTATTTTTTCAAATAATCATATATTTTGATAATAGTGTCTCTTATTTTGTGTATAACAAATAAAAGATATGAAAAAATAAGTATTATGAAAGATCATTTTAGCGAAAGAAAGGATAAAACAAGTTTGAATGGTCCTCTTATATTTTTCATCAAGGCTTTTAACGTTAAAAGCAGACTTTTAATATCGATTTACTCTACATTTTTGACTTGGTCTTTCAATAATTACTTTTTTCATATAAATATTTTGTTTTGTTAAAAGAATATTAAATATATATTGTTTAAATTTAGGAAGCGCATCAAGAAACTTATTTAATCCACGAATGAAAAATTGGATGTCACCAACGGCTTTGTAACTTGTTAAATGCCTCATACTCATTTTCAATGTTTTGCAACTCCACACTCCAATTATCTCAATGAATAGGTGAATGTTTCTCCTCTGCTATTTTATGCATTATTCCACTTTGAATTCAGCACTTCATACAAGTTTTAGAACGAATTACCAAGGTACCACAGTAATCTAATCAGTCAAACTTAAATATCTACTTTTGTAAATAGGTAAAAACTTCTTGAAATTAAGTATAGAATTCTATATACTCAAACCATTGCTGTATAGTTGTTCATTATAATTCAGACGATATACAAATATCTCCAAATTAAAACAATCCAATGAAATATTAGAAAATATTTCGATAAGCTATAAATTTACTTGATAACATTAATTTATTAAAATTACTTTTTGAAGTTTCTTTATATTTTGCATTGGATAATTTTATAATAACTATAGATTTGATTGAGTATTTTTTGTAGTGTTTAAACCCAATTAAACTAGCATTTCTTATTATAGTGTACTTTGATTTATTGCACTCTTACTTTCTTATATTTATAAATGTGAATTAATATTTAATACTAATAGCCCTTTGTAGTAGTTGATTTTTTGTTTAATTATTATTGCATAAAAATGTTAAATTATGATTTTTTGTATTGTTGCAATTAATATTATTTATTTTATACATAAAATAATGATTTCTATTTGCTTTCCTTAAGAGAGCAATTATCGGTGTTCTTTTAGTGAAAAGAACAATAAGGCAATATACATAAATAAATTGTAATATGAGCTACTTCTCACTCAAATAAAAACGAAAACTCAATTATTAATTGAAAAAAATAATGTCGCTTGAATCGTCGAAACTTTTATCAGCGTTTTGTTTTCATAATACTTCTTTAATACTTTTAAAGTCCTGTAATTGGTACAACCGTAAAACTCATCGGTATAAAGCCAGTATAGAGGGGCAATAAATTGCTGCACGCACAAATATTTATAGATTTTTTATACGTTCATTAAATGAAGATTAAAACGAGTACTGCGTTTGGATCTATTCTCCACCGAACAAAGTTCTCTGCTGGATGTTCGTATTTGCTGTATTTTTTTTTGCGTGAAACTGAAATAATAAGCTAAAAATGGATGTTTGTTATGCTGACAATAAAGCTCCCAAAATGCTGAGCTCTACGGGAATATAATTATTATTAAGTAACTTACCAGTAATATACATTCCCAGGGTAACCATCTTATGGGCGCAGGTGGTCGCCCGCCAATTTCAGCGTAGTCTTTACGATATTGCGGTTTGCACATCGCTATATCCGTTATTTTTACTATATATCCTCTGCCGACCAGGCAATTCCTGAAAACATAACATTTCCACAATAATCGCAAGTGTATAACGAAAAAAAATAAAATCTGAATGAAAATATGCAAGCAGGACTACGTTTTCTGCATGAATTCATTATTCAACGCGAGTATTTACCTTGCGGCTAAATCTTTATGCACTACATGCTTCGATTCTAAATATTTCATTCCGGATGCAATTTGCGTCGACATATACAGTAGAGTTTCCACACTGAAACAAAAACGAATACAATAAAATAAGAGCTTTAAGTGCGCCCACAGTAATAGGACAAGTATATGTAAATATTAAAAAGGACAATACCATTCATACAAAATGATACATTTAACACATATATCACAGTAGTAGAAGTAAATCTAGTAGAGTAGATATAATTATTTAAATTTTAGAATATTATTATTGTATATATAATATAATGAAAATTATTAGTTATCAGTTAATTCTTTTTTTTTGTAAAGTATTAGATAATCTATATGTATTTTCTAATATTGTTTTATTTTTCTGAATATTCTTTGATAAAAAGAACATTTACTGTTGGTTCTGTTGTTTAAGCAATGATTTAAAAAACATATGTGTAATTTTACTGTTATGTATGTAACTTGGGTGTCTTGAGTTGCTGTTTTCCTATATCCATATGTAAATAAATGTGACAATCGCAAAAATGGGTTTCCCGAAGCCAAATGTAAGAGAAATGAAATATGAATGATGAAAAGAGGTGTTTGAATAGGAAGTGCATTCGAGGGTAGTAAATAGAAGAAAATCGTCGTTCATTTTTCAATTGACGCTATGTTATGTAACGTAATATCGTCATCATCATCATCGCTGCCATCAAAGGGGGAGGTATATTTTTATCTTTCCTTCTGAGTGTGTATCTGTGCCAGTTTATGTAGTCTCTCTGTGAGTGTGTGTGTGTGTGTGTTAGTACCTTATAGGGGAATCTTGTGAGGATCGCACTGTTCCGTTCCGGTTTGCAAGGAACTGGAGATACTGGGCGAGATCCCCCATTTCACCGTACTCTATAATCGTCCACGGAGGATATTCCGCCGTGCAGACACCCAATACTCTGCAGATATTAGGATCCGATAAACTGGCAAGGAACCTAACTTCCCTAAGTGACTCTATCGAACCAGTGGCTGCATCGCTTTTACATTGTGCCGGATTCGGTGTCCGGACGACCACTAAACGGCCCGACCCCGAAATTACGTCCTCCAGCTCTTCCGTTTCGTACAAACTAATCTGTAAATAGCGAAACCCGGAGGATTAGTAATGAAATTATGTAAGCTGCAGGCGAAGATTACAACCTCGCCGCAGTGACAGGAACCCAGATTCTCCACCGAAGTCAACGAATAACGGGATACCGTCGGAGGGTCAATTTCCCTGCACGTGTACGAGTGTCCCATGCTCGGCGCAATGTTCCAGCAGACCACAGGCGGTGGAATCTAACCGCAAAGACATCCATTTAGCCATTTATTTAGCCAAACAATTAAACAGTTCATCATTATTTACCCTCTGCTTCTCCCTCGGGGCCGTGTGATATCGCTTCCGATTGGGCGGATCCGTAGCGACGCGTGGAAAATAATTCCCCAGATTAATCATTTTCGATTTCGGGCTAATAACGGGTGTGCTTTGCAAACTCCGATAATGAAGCGGAGATGACGAAACAGTTATTGGACTTTGATGGAGGGACGGTGAAGACGGGAGCGGCGGCACTTCCGGTGGCTCCTCCGGGTCCGCAACGGCCGTGGACATCCTGAGAGTCGCGTAGTTCGGCGTAAAATACGAGTTCACCAATGGCGATCTGAACTGTTCAAAGGTCACCGAGTCCGCCTGGGGTTCTTGAGCGATGGGCGTCGTTGGGTGGTTACTGTTTCCGCCGTTGTTATTACTTGATGAAAACGTCATTAGCAAATCCTGCAAATAATTGCATTTCAGAATACTCGGCCCGCTGTAATTGCTCGTAAATTGAAAATTTTCATTACCTTCATGTTAATTGTTACGCCAAAAGGATTCCTCAAAAGTGTTGGGGAACCTTGGAGTTTGTGTCTTCTGCTCACTATTAATATTATAACGAAGACGACTAGCAGAAGCAGCATGATGGCCGTTAATACTCCAATTATAACTTCGACGTAAGCGTTGCCATCTTTTCGGGCCGCAACTGCAAGTTTTATTCAATTCGAAAATGAATGCCTTCGAATTATAAAGTTTCACATCCTGCAAACTTACTCGTCTCAAATGAGTCCATATTGTTGTTTCCGTTCGAATGGATTATCAGTTCATTAATATCAGAGTCCAGGAACTCCTCCTCCGTTACATTCGCAGCGACCGGCACTGAAAGTAGAGTAGCAAGAGATTCGGAATAAATCGATGGTTACTCACGCATTTCAAACTCGACTCGGCCCCCCGTCGACCGACAAATAAAAGTATGCAGATAGGGTGCAACCCGAAAATACAAATGACATCTATAATTCATGGTTTTAATTTCAGAGCAACAGTTTGAAAGTAATAATACCCTGCTATTTAGGCGAAGATAAATGAGTTGCTTAAATATGGACTGTTCTCGCAGTGTATAGACAATTTAATTTGTTGAAAAGATTAATTGGCGGGTGCAAATAGAAATTAAACTGAGGGACCGACGGGGTGGACGGGTTAGTGTAAATGGAAGGAAGAGAGAAAGGGGCCAGAGAAGAGACAGACCTGAATCAAAAGAGACTTCGCTCAACATGAGCCAGCGATCCGCGAAGAACAGGCGAAGTTTGATGAAACGGGCGAGCTGGTGATGAAGATGAATGGTCACATTCCTGGCATTCTCCAGAACACGGTCCGGCATGTACGAATAGGATATAGTGCGGCCGTTGTAGTATTTCCCCCCGATGCTGAACATCACTTTCGCTTTGGTGAAGACCTGCAATTCATCGTCCGTCGAGTATCGAACGTAACGCAGAATCCACTAACACTGAAACGCACCTGCACGCCTTTGCTGAAGAAATTGTTGGTGAATAGATGGACTGCGCTGAAATTGCGGATTTGATCGAATTTGAAGATCATCTCTATGTAATCCTCCTCTGTCGAGTCGTTTCTCCAACCCATCCAACCGTTACCTGCAAAAAAAGGAAGGAAACAAATATAATTACTACGAATTAAATAATTTAGATAAATCTCAACTTGATACATTAATAAATAGATTCTCTGCATTCCAGGCTAAAGGCATTTCAAAGAAAAGCCAAGAAGGTTCGTAAATAATGAATGCAAAAAACAGGGGCCGAGTTTCACAATCAATCTCCAGGGACGGATAACTTATTATCTTAACAAATCGTATAATCAAATACAATTTTAACAGGAAAATAGACCGAGCAGTTCAATGTTTGTATTCAAACAATATTAAAAAGATTAGTTTATTTATAATTTATGTAATTTCATTTTTAAAATATATTCTTTGAGAGGCATAAAACAACAGAAATAAATGATAAAATCACTGTAAACATTTAATTTATTTTCATCTGTAATAATTATATTATTAATCCTTTAACTACAGCTGTCGTCAATAGACGACAATACGAAACTTTTGTGAGATACGGCTGTCGTCAATAAGCGATTTGATGAATTATGTTGAGATACGGTTATCGCCTATTGACCATTTTATATATTATTGTAAGATTTGTTATCTCGGAACTTAGTAGTAATATTTCATTTAGTATTATCTACTTGCAATTTTTTTATAAAAATAATATTTTTTTTACTGTATTGATAATTAATATTAGAAATGTCGTGAAACAAATTTTACAAAAACATGAAACTCTACAGCTAGATATAGACGACAAATAATGGAAATAATTAATTGTTTAGTAAATTTCATGGAAAGACCAGTTAATAAACCATCTACTAAAAGTAGCAAAACAATTGCAAATACTGTTCGATGTGGAAAAAAAAAGAAAATATGTTACAACTTGGTCTGTGTAAAATAAGACTTTGTAAAAAGGACTGTTACAAAATTTATCGCACAAGAATACAACACCAATTTGTTTAAAACAGCTGCAAATGTATTATTTTTAATAACAATATGTATTATTAATAATATTATTTGTTTATTTAACAATATTTTTTATTCAATTTTGTTCCCAATGAATATCGCTCACACTAGTAATAATTGAATTGAAACTCAGAATTATTTTTATGCGATTTTGATTTACTTTATACATATAGTTTAATAAAAATAAATACTGTTTCATTTATTGTTTGTTGAAGTAGATATACATTAATTGAATGAATATTTTTTTGTTTTATTAGTAGGTTTTATTTAAAATTAGCTTTTGAATATTATAGTTCAGAATTATCTACTATTCAAGACAAGACATGTGCATGAATAAAGTTAATTTAATTTAAATAATTGTTGTATTATATAATTGAATTACGTATCCTTTAATTAGGTTATTGGTTAAATTATGAAGTGGTCGTTAACGAAGATAAACTTATCTTCCAAATGCCCTCTTAAGGAGGAAGTCAACGAACCATCAATTATGGATTATGACGTTGGCTGATTTCGAAAGAAGATTACGAATTATTCTAGATAAATACGAATTGATTTTCTTATAATATATATTTGCTACTTGTAATTTATACCAAATATATATTATGTGTTATATTTATATAGTTTTATGATGTGTGAGTTTTACTTGACATAATTGATAGTTACCATAATTGAAATAGTATATTAAGAAAATAAGCAATAAAATGTTACAGTTTACAATGTCCATATTGAATGAAAAATATGATCAGAAAATCTGTAAAATTTTATATAGCCAATTTAGTCAGCAAAAGTGACGGGTAAAGAGTAAAAAGGTAAAGCCAGAGTAAAGACGCTTCAAGGAGATTTAAATTTATAGATAAGCCCAGCGGTGGAGACATTTGAAAAGTAATTTTGCTGGAGGGAGCATGAAAGGAAGTAAACAAATATTCAATGGATAATGATGAATACAAGGATTTACTTTTAATACTCATTTTAGTTGTATTTATATACAGAAATTCCTCGGATACACCAATCTCTGTTTTAAACCGGACTAATTGAGGAATTGATTACATACAAAAATAAACCGCACAAAAAGAGAATTGATTATATAAAGCAAATAGCTCGCATTGTGCGGCTTAGATCAAGGCAGATTCACATTGTAAGGTTTGGATATTTCTAAAGAAACTAAATTTTAATTGAGCAAAATGATCATTTCTTTCCTCTATAAAATCACGTTTCTTTATGTGCTGTTTATTTTTATACAGTTATAATTATTTATAATAATCCCAATAATGTAAATTTAGTAAAAAAAATCTCATTACATAAATACCTAAAATAATTATAAGTATAAAAAAGACTATGGCTTAAATCGTATTATATTACTATGTCCTAATCAAGATAATTCTTATATTGGATTGAGAATTCTGTGTTGTACATATATTTTTTACAAAACTTATTAAAAATTATTGATGAAATTGTAAAAATTATTTGATTATTATTAACATGAAGAAATTTCGTAAATGAATCTTAAATTATATAGTGAAATGCTTAAAGTAGAATATATATATAATTTACCTTTTCCATATCCAATATCGAGACGGTAGTTGTCCGCGCCGATTTCTCCGTCCACAAGTCTTCCGAGGCCACTGTGCAATTCCCCACGGGATCGTTGCCCATCATACGAGCTGTCCCACAATCCCTGCGACGGTTCGGATCCTTCTGGGGCGGTATAAGCCAGAACGCCACCTGCAAACAACATCACCATATAAATTCCCCCATCTCATTGCATCCCTTATCGCACTAAACAACAAAACAAATTTCCTTTATTTTTTTGCTCTCCACCAGTGTATCACCACTACATAAATACATCGAGCGCTAGACCAATCTCCTGTTAAAGTGAATCACATCAATACATCTGCTCTTCCACTCCGGATATCTCGAAGTAATTTTCTTAAAATGCAGTTAATGACGCAACAAATCACAGCGGTATTTGGTTACAGCAAAAAAAGAGAGCGTTCGTGTCTACCACACACAGAGTATGTGTGTGTGTGTGTGTGTGTGTGTGTGTGTGTGAGAGAGGGAGGAAACCAAGAAGTATCCGGGCGAAAAGTCAGCATGTAAATGGGGCCCATAATATGGGAGAGTGGCTCGTATTAATCAGAGTCTCAGGCATGGAATGGTTCTTGCGTGAGGGAGAAAGACTCAGGTTCTCGCCTCTTTCTGCCTTCTCGCCCGAGGGATTTTCAGATTTTATCTGATAATAAGGTCCACTTAGCGACGGCGTAAAATTAATTTCACTTTGCACGTAAATATGAAAAATAAAGAAACAATTATTATTTCAGCTTGTCGCCATTAATCATCTCTCGCACAAAATATAAGGGATGAAAAAGAACCGTTCGTTCATCTTACCATTATCATTTTTTCGGTTAAGATAATATTCTCTATTTTTTTTACATCATCATTATAATTTCACTCAAGTTGACACTATTCTTAGGCAAGTTTTTTTTGCAGTTCATTAACTTTAAGATTTATGCACATAATTAATATTGTTATAACTTTTCAAATATTAAATTAAATGCAATGGATTATAAATACTATCAAATTACAGGGCAAAAATTTTTGGTCAATAGTCATTTGATTATTGTTTAATAATAATATCAAAAATATTAAATCAGTCAATGAAATACGCGTGGTACTAATTTTAGGTTTTTCCTATCAATAATTTTATTTGTAAGTATAGAAGACAGTTATTTGTAAATTTTTCTACATTATTTACATATCAAGCAGATGACTTGAAGAGCAAGAAATCTAAATATTAATTATCAATAATTTAAAGTAGAGTTTGTTAAACTATACTAATATAGTAGTAATAATTGTATTAATTTTCACATATTCCACCAAACCACATCCATTTCAAACGTGTCACAACGTTAGAGTGTAATACTTTTATATAGTTAGCTAGTTTTTATAAGACAGTAAATACCTTGAATAGTCCGTATTCACTTTAGTCGGGTTTGAAAAGTTCAAAACAAACTAAATTATAATTAAGCTAAATATATTGTCATTGATGGTTTATAGAGGATTAAAACCAGCCAGCGATTGTTGAAAATATTGAATCCCGCGGACTATTGAACTCATAATTTGGAATTGCGCGGACTAATACAATGATAGGAACATTTTAAATATGAAATTATTTTATTTATTTTTCCACTCCCAAGTTGATGATCGGTGACCATATACAGTCAAGTCTCTTTTTGTGCGATTTATTGTAGCATAAAAATAAACCGCACAAAAAGTTATTAAAGTAATATTTATGAATATTTAGTTCCTGGATTAGTCCGGTTTTTACAATTCCGGGATATTATTCGGATTATGCGAGGTATTGCTGTATTGTAAAAGAAAGATCAAGTTACTCTATGTAAAATTAAAATTAATTATTGCATAATCAATGAATTTATTAATTAAGTACTTTGTAGAAATACATGTAATAAACATAAATACTTATAGTAACAATTTAATTCATATATGAAACTATTAAATTAAATATGCAATTAAATATATCAATCCATTTTGATTATCAACATTATTTTCATTTTTTTAATGAATTAACTTCATATATGTATACGGAATCGATTTTGTTACTTTAAACATATAATTTACGGACACTAACTTTTTCAAATGTTCGTAGTGCCCCAGATTTACGGCTTACACAAGATTTAAATGTATTTTCTACCTCCTTATTTCGAAAATATAATAACTGTCTAATTCAACGATAATATTTAATTCAATTTGAATATTCAAAATAAAATTGTTTCGTATATAATAATTATTATTATATAAATATTGAGTTAGAATTATATAAACTATTAAATAATACTTCCTCTGTCCGAAAATATAAAAATAAATAATAAATTACCATAATACAACTCAACAAAATAACGCAATAAGAAAATTAAAACCAAATTGATTTGCTACAATATATAACAGTTGATTTGCGAAAGAAAGACTACGAATCGTTTCTCGACGATTTAACAGTATATTATTTATTTCAGTTAAATTGGCAGAATAATATTTTCGTTTTCTTCTGCATTTCTCCTTCTTTTTTTGAAGAAAAAATCGGCACAAATTTTACCTTCTCTGTATTTAGCTTGTGTTGTATGCCATATTCTACTTACGGTCAGACGGGATACATGGAATGCAACTTTATTAATAGTACCCTGTTCTAATTTCTTTGTTCTTCATACACTGTATTAACTGTTGCAAGATACCACGACGTTGTTCATTAGTAAATTGCTTCGGTTTGTAATATTTTCATTGTAAATTCACGTTATTTGGGTTAGAATTTTCTGTATTGAAATTAAATCGGTGACTATTTTATTTTTCTTAAAAAAAACTAATTTTGTTGTCTCCAAATTCCAACTTAACTCTAATATGAATCTAAGCAATACCATAAGTAATGCCAGTTGCTTTTGAAACTCTAGGTAATCTAAGATTTTCTTTCAAATGTATACCATATTTTCGGACAGAATGAGTATTAAATATTATTATGTTGTAAGTAATGCATCTAATATGTATACTCCAACCTGTTTTTTTTATATGGATTACTTTTATACGGTTTCAAAATCACACGGATTTCGTCTTGTAGACGTGTTCAATGTCTGTATTGGTTTGAACGGAATTTATTTTTGTTTGTCCATGTATATTAATTTCTGCTTTCCATATTTAATTTAAAGTGTATTTCACATATATTATATCTTATCATATCTTTGTATTTATAACATAAAATAGGAAATTTAAACTAAGGATTAAAATTATAATCAGGTGATATGATGTAATATCATAGTAGATTTGTTTACCATATAAAAACAGATTTGAGTGTATTTACGTTTTATTAAACTTGGCGTCTACACCTTTAAACTTTTGTACAAAATACATATACTTTTTAATTTATATTTATCATCGAATTTCGTATGTTGAAAAACTAGTTACGTAATTAAAGAAACATATTTTTATTATGATTTTAATCTATCTTTTTTCTATAATATTTGCAAATCATTTTCGGTTCGGTTGTATTCAAATTTTACGGATTTGTGCAAAAGCTGGGTCAGTTGTTGCTCCGTAATATGTAAACGTCGACTGTGCCGCAGTTGCATCCTTTTTAATTGCATTCGTTTGCATACTTTCATGTCCTCTTTTTATGCAAACCTCGGCCGTCCGCCGTTCACGTATTTGTTAATCATTAATTTATCCGCTGGTTTTTGTACACTGACTCACTTGAATTATTTACAAAACCGACATTTGGATAATTAAATTATGAATACATACATACACATATATTTATATAAAACGAATGTTAAAAATATTTCTGTAATTTATTTCGTGGCATATTGCATTGTTTACTATATTTGTTATTCATAATTATTTTATTTAAATAATAATATAATAAATCTCACGTTTATTTTTATTTATTAGATTAATATCTTTATAAGATTAACAATTTTTAGCTTTTTGTTTAATGATAAAAAAATATGTATTAATAAATACATTAATGTTATAAATATCTGTTTGGAAATGTTGCAGAATTTTGTTGAAGTGAGATGTATAAATCAATCTGTTGGAATTTTTCATCATAGAAGGCAAGATTCTTTGTAACGTATCTGCTACGTTTTGGATTTTCTTTTGTTGGAGCGGTTTATAGTCAATCTCCAAGCACTGCGACCTGAAAGGACTATTGTGTCCAGTGTGCACGTTTCTTCAAAGAAGTACAAAATGTTAATGATCGTGTATCTGGTAAATTTAATTGGTATTTTTTTCCAACTCTTATAGTAACATTCTATATTGTTGTCATATCAATTATTATAAAATGTTTTATACTTTCATAATACAACAAATAAATAAATACCTAAAATTAGCATTAAATTAAAAACTATTTTGTGATGAAACAATATTTGCGTGAAGTATTTTTATTTTATATTTATACAGTTGGAAGTATATTTTCAGTCAACGGTGGATTTTATTCTTATATTGAATTTCGTCGTATTCTCCACATGCTATAATTTACAGCCGTAGTGAAATATTGTTATGTAAACCGAATTGTGCCATATATAACATTTTATATTTTATACGAAACATGTACACGTTCTTTTTCACTTACCTATTTATACAACTATAGATTTATTACACTAATGTATTCTGCATGTTTTATATTTTAAGATTTACAAAATGTAACTTGTTTTTTATTCTCTATCGATTAGATCAGTTTCTTAATCGATATTTTGTACCTGTAAAGATAAATTTATTACTAAGAAGTAATTTATCTACGAGTCATATGAGTATATTTATCTGCACTCAACAAGTTATAAAATAATAAATTTGTATAATTTACGATTTATTTAAACTTTATATATTAAAAGCAATAGTTTAAATAAGAATTGTCAGTTTTTCTTAAAATAAATGTATTAAACTTGATTGAACCCGGCGCTCCCACATGTAAACTTCTGCGGAAAATAATATAGCAATACGGATTTCGAAAATATCAAAACAATAATAATTTACAGATGTTGTGAAATATTGTTATATAAACCGAATTGTGCCATATATAACACCTAACATTTTAAACGTTCTTTTCCATTTTGCTATTTATTACACCAATGTATTACGTATGTTTTAAAATTTACAAAATGTGTTTTTTTTTCATTTTGTATTGTTTATATAAAATTCTTACTCGATATTTTGTGCCTAAATTT